GTGTTTTTGTGTGTGTCTGTGTGGCTGGGTGGTGGGGGAGTGGCTTCTATTTCAGTCTGTTTGTATTCCTATTTGAGACTTTTTAGAAAATATACTACAGCTACTACTACTACTTCCAATATTATTAGTATAATTTATTAAGAGCTTATCACATGTCACCCAAAAAAACCAAATTATCCAGTTAAGAAATGGGCAGAAGACATGAATAGATAGTTTTCCAAAGAAGATATCCAGACGGCCAAGAGACACATGAAAAGATTCTCAACATCACTCATCATTAGGTAAATACAAATCAAAACCACAGTGAGATACCACCTCACACAGGTCAGAATCGCTAAAATGAGCACCACGGGAAACAGCAGATGTTGGCAAGGATGCAGAGAAAGGGGAACCTTCTTATACTGATGGTGGGAATACAAACTGGTGCAGCCACTCTGGAAAACATCATGGAGGTTCCTCAAAAAGTTAAAAATAGAAGTACCCTATGATCCAGCAATTGCACTACTAGGTATTTACCCAATAGATACAAAAATACTGATTCCAAGGGACACATGCACTGTGATGTTTATAGAAGCATCATCAATAACAGCTAAATTATGGAAAGAGCCCAAATGTTGATCGATTGATGAATGGATAAAGAAGATGTGGTCTATATACACAATAGAATATTACTCAGACATCAAAAAGAATGAAATCTTGCCATTTGCAACAACGTGGATAGCGCCAGAGTGGATTATGCTAAGTGAAACAAGTCAGTCAGAGAAAGACAAATATCATATAATTTCACTCATGTGTAGAATTTAAGAAACAAAACAGACAAAAAAAAAGAGAGGCAAACCAGGAAACAGACTGTTAACGATAGAGAACAAACTGACGGTTGCTGGAGGGGTGGTGGCTGGGGAGATGGGTTAGATGGGTGATGGGAATTAAGGAGGGCACTTGTTGGGTTGAGCACTGGGTGTTATATGTAAGTGATGAATCATTAAATTCTATTCCTGAAACCAGTATTACACAATATGTTAACTAACTAGATTTTAAATAAAAATTTGAAACAAAAACAAGCAAAAAGAGCTTATCACATGTCAAGTTCACAGTGCGCCTTAAATTCTATCATAAGGTATGTTCTATTATTACACCCATTTTACAAATGAAACTGAACCATAGAGAGGTTAAGAAACTTCCTTAAGGCTACTTAGCTAGTAGGTGGCAGAGTTGGGATCTAAACCGTGGTCATTTAGCTCTAGGATCAACAGTCAATCACCACACGATATAACTTCTGCAAATACCAGCTACTCTGAGTGCAAGGACAACATAAGATGACGAGCGTCAAAGTCACTTCGGACCTCTGAGGATGCATATGTACTCTAAAATAATGACTACAAATCACAGATTCTGAAGTGATTGTCAGAATTATAGGAAAAATAAACAATAGGTAAAGAAGTAAGATTAGTTTTTAAAAATGTTTTTCAGTATGTGTATACAGAAAGTCAGGTATATAGGGCTGGGGACAACTGCAAAAGTATGCTTTAGGGAGCCCATTCTGGAGCTGGGCCTTGGTTCCATCATTTAGTCTCATTAATAGCTTAACATCAGAAAAATTACTTCAGTCCTCTAGGTATGATACTTTCTCTAATTTTCTGCATAGGGTGGAGAATGAACGAGAACACAGAAAAGAAAGCAATCACCAACTAAAAGCATTATGCTAAACACAGCCCTGCTCTAACTGGTTGAGTGGAGATGGTGGTTTACAAGTGTCTCCACCACACGCACATCCTCACAGGCAGGGAGCTGATGTTATGGCTCTCCGCCCCTTTCCTCTCTGTGCCCCCAGCTACTCTGTGCAAAGAGCCTGTGCTCTTCTTCTCACCTCCACCTAACAGGGCTTCAATCATTCTTTTCTTCTATCATTTCAACTAATTCCCAAGGCGAAGAACTCACAATTCTTTATGCCATGAATTGTAGTTCTGAAATTGATCAAGTTGTGATTTTGTATAAAATTATGCCAAAAGTCGGGCGCCTGGGTGGCTCAGTTGGTTAAGCAACTGCCTTCAGCTCAGGTCATGATCCTGGAGTCCCGGGATCGAGTCCCGCATCGGGCTCCCTGCTCAGCGAGGAGCCTGCTTCTCCCTCTGACCCTCCCCCCTCTCATGTACTCTCTCTCATTCTCGCTCTCTCAAATAAATCAATAAATCTTTAAAAAAAAAAATTATGCCGAAAGTCATAATATGGTGGAAGACAGAAGGATGACTCACTAAAAGCAGATTTTTACTGGTTTATTGTTGATAAATAATATCGAAAATATTGTGCAACCTACTGGTTGTTATTTTAATTCTCCAAATCCATTTCCAATTATTGGCAATTGCTACATACGAATCAAGTTTGGATATTCTAAATTAGATGTCACATCTGTATCTATACCAGACCAGCACTTTACATTTGGAATGACAAGGTACATAGACAATCTCTATGTTTCATATAGATAAACCAGTCGTTCATGAGTATTTTAGTTTACACAGGAAATGTTATTCTGGAGGTAACTGAGCTCAGCCTTTCTGTATGAAAATTTAGGTCTCCATCTATGGTTACTAGAGAGGCAGTCCACAGGCCTCCTCTCTTCTTACGAGCTGTAGTTCAAAGCCTAGGTAGCAAAGAGTTCCTAGTGCAGCATGAAGTATTATCTCCAGAGCGGGTATCAGGGAACTGGACATCAGCATCCCCCAACATCAGAAGCACCTCCTTAGAGAAAGTTGAAGGTATGTGGGTGCCAGGGAAGGATGGCCATATTATTAGATATACAGTCTGCAAATCTCTCCCACTTTAAAAAGAATTTTTAACTAATTTAAAAGGCAGACTTATGAAAGGTACAGCATAGGGAATATAGTCAATGATACTATAATAGCGTCATATGGTGACAGATGGGAGCTACACTTGTGGTGAGCAGAGCATGATATATAGGGAGGCTGAATCACTATGTTGTATGCCTGAAACTAATGTGTGTCAATGATACTTCAATTAAAAAAGGGGCAGATTTATGTATTGTAATGTATACCATGAAACTGTATCTCCCCGATCATATTAATCATGATATAAAATAGAGTAGGCACCTTTAGTCCTGCGGGCTGGGCAAATTAGTATAGGTCTAGGTAATGAAGCAGACCTGTCAAGGTGGGTCCTTTCTGAGGAGTGGGTGCCCCTCTCTGATGATTTTTTTTTACCATTTGCTGTGTTCTGGTAGTGGCTAAGTGAACATTCTGGGTCATGGTTTATTTGTTCTATTTTTCCAGATCTATTTAAATTAATCATTAACTTAAAAAATCATATTGGTTATATGTTTATTAGATAAAAATTAGCTTAAATTGTATCTGAACTTTAGTTTCAAGTGCATTTTCTGACCATATACCACAATCTTAGATTATCAAAGCAACCTTACATGAATAACAGAGTACCAGTTAGACATGAGGGAATGAATACACATACACCCACATATAAACAATGTCATCAACCAAGATGGTTAAGTGATCTGTCCAGTGTAGTCAAGTATAAAAAACATGGAAATATGAAGGAGCCACCACCTCCTTTTGAGGAAATATCAAAGACTTTATGACTGGGAGATTTTTCCCTTATATTAGATACATGTTCCTTTATGTAATTTTATCTATTATTTTAGTTACCATTTTAGGTTCTCTCTCAAAAATCCAGCTTCCCCTTGCTACTCTTTAATTACTTCTAGATTATTATCAACACTGCCTCCTTTTCCTTCCCTCTCTACTCCATTGCCTCAACCTTTTAGTCATTAGTTGGCTCTTAAATATGGACTTGATATATTTAATCCTTTGCTAGAAGACGGTTCTTTCAATTTCGGTTTTTAAATTCTTCCAATCATCTCCTATTTTTCTAAATTTCATCTTTCTTTTGGCTCATCACTAAAAGTAGTCTCACCTATCGTGCAGAAAAAAATAAAACAAGAGATTCTTTATTTCATTCTGCCTTTTCAATTGTAATAGTCTAAAAACAGTTATGCAGGATATATTGTTTTCATCAGCAGTATTGAAATCATGTTCTCATAGAAGACAGATTTTAAATACTAAACAAAAGTGAGAATAATAGTTATCGTTACAAAAAGCTTATGGAGACATATATAAAAAGCTGATACATGCTTGCTGTCACAATGAGAATCCATACAATTAAACTGCTGAAAATAAAGAATGGAAAGAAAGCATTCCCTTTAACTAAAAAACAGGAAAAAAACCAGATGATCTAATGTAGAAGAAATCACGATTTCTATCAAGAGATCACAGTAAAATCCACTCTCAGGAGAAAACACATACTCTGTTGCACTTATGTATGTGTGTATGTATATATGTATGATGTTATACGTATATACTCTGCTTTAGTATAGTAAAGCAGAAGTGAATATGAAGAAACCAAACAGTAAATTCTGCTGTTCCTCAGTCTTAAATCCAACCTCACTTTCTGAAAATCAAACCAATGCCTCATAAACAATGAAAGACTTGGAGAAAGTTCTATTAACACGAATGAAGATTTTTTAGAAAGGGCCACAAGATGAGCACTTAATTAAAACACACACACACACACACACACACACACACACATACTTTCTTTAGGCTGTTGAAATATAAAGTCTTTAATTCTCCATTTAAAAAAAAACAAACCCTGATTATAAGCTTTAAAACCATCTGAAGATGTGAAAGACTATCTGCATTTCAGCCTACTTCAAAGCCAGTAAAGAAATCATTTCTTCTTCTTCCAACTCAGTATGTTTAGGAGCAGGACATCTGATAGAAGTGGTATTGCCAATCTAACCAATTTTAAAATATAAAGTGCTTCTAGCAATATTTGGAGACATATAATTTGACAAAAAGGTTTTATAAACCTAAGCTTTGAAAAATAGAAAATATAAGCCCCAGCAAAAAAAAAAAAAAAGCATCATTTGTAATTGAAAGAAAATAATATTTTGTAGAAAAAAAAGTCCTTCCAAAAAGAGACAAAAATGACTAACTTTTATTTCCCAAGGGAATTATGCCACTTTTATACAACAAAATTATAGTCACCACAAATTGCTTTCAACAATTCCACTGCTTCTTCATTTGACCACTTGAAAATCAAAATTCTTTCAGATTATAAATATAACTTTTTATAACTCTGTTATTACGTACTGTGAATGGGGAAAGGGGGCCAATCTTGTGGCCGTAGCGTCGAACGGCCTCTCTGATGTGGCAGGGCTGGATGGCATCGCTGTGAGCCTCAACACCACAGGCCGCAGTGCTCTGTGACAGAAAAACACATAAATTGTTACTAAATCAAAAACACACAACAGAACTACAGTGTATAAAATATGAAAATAAACTTTTATAAAATGGATGTTCCCCCCTTTAGGATGCACGTCCCTGCTGCCCTATATGACATTTAAAAAAAGACTCCGTTAACAAATCAAAGATGACTTTTCCGTGACCCCTTTCTAGCAGACCTACCAAATGCAATTTTTATGCCCACAATATTTCACCTAGGCCTGCACGTCAAGGTACAGGAGAATAGAACCACTCGTGTGCAGATGAGAAGTGTCGTGGGGGATTGCAGACAGAACCACAGGAAGCTATGTTTTTAAAAAAACACTTAAACATTTATTATTATAAATGTTTCTTGGGAGCTTGTTGAGCATATTTCTGAAATAACTGGAGGGTCATCAATTTTAAAATGAAAAATATAAAATTGCTACATATTTATTTATAATACCGGAGCTGTCATAGACAATCATTTTAACGTGGTTCCCAATTTTCTAGGTGTCCTCAGGGAAAAAAGAAAATAAAACAAAACCTTTCTCTTTTAATCTGCCTCATGTGTAAAAGGCAGGTTTGAAAGTACAAAAAGACACAAGGAAGAGAAAGACTATTTGTAAAGAGAGTATGGATACCAGCTTAAGAAAGGTGTGTAACATGATTTAAAAAAAAAAAATTAAAATGTTCAATAGGAACAAGATAGTCTCGTGGCTCACTTGCAGGCTCTGGTTTCCCAAATACCTGATCTAGATCCTATCAGTTACCAGTTCTGTCAAGTTATGTAATATCTCTGCACTTCAGTTTCCTTATCTGTAAAATTGGGGTAATAATTATAATTGCTTTCTACTGCAGTGGATACCAGATGCCAGTCATTAACATTAAAGAATCAAGAGAAAGAAACAGTAGTTTGTGTATTACTATAACTGTATTCTAGAAGTCAGTCATAGTCACATAATGATTATTTGTTTTTCTGATAATTACTACAATTACCACTTTCATAATTCCTTGTAGGAGTATAACTAGTATGACCTCTATGAATAGTAATTTGGCAAAATCTTATCAAATGAAAATGCACAACCATTTTGACCCAATTTCATATCTAAGAATTTATCAAAGAACACCAGATTGGTGTATGAATGTAGCCAAGAGGAAGAGGACCTGACATCTGAGGACGAACTTTACAAGACAGCTTGTACTTTACTAAAGGAAATAGAGAGTCTATTTCGGCAGAGATTTCAGCACTCTTTAGACAACAGGACTCAGTATTCTGTCAAATATGTAGATTTCATTTTTGAAAATTTAAAAATAAAGAATATCCTAAAGTACAGGCACACTCAGAATGGGAAAGATGGTAAATAAAACCGTGGTCCGGGGAAGCTATACTGAAACTTCTGTCACTGCTGAATCTCTTACAAATGTTCGTACCTTTCTGGACTTTTTAAAAAAAATTGTTGGCAAGTTAAATCGTCCTATCCTTTCTCAGCCTTTCTCTTGCCAGTGAAATCCAAATTTAAGGAGGACCTGGAATATTGGATAATTGCCACTTATTCTTTCCACATAATGGTGGACTAGATCTTTTGTTAAACTCGAAACATTCGTTCTTAAAGGGTAACACATATCTCAGATTAGAGCAAACGAAAGGCTGGTACTACTATTACTAATACTTTTATCACTCACTGACCACAAAGGTTGATATATAATCTGACTGGCAAGGCAAGTGTCTTACTTCTACTCAATGCTGTACACATCGCTTTTCCAGAGTTTCCTTTTTTATGGAGAATGTCTTTTCAGATGAAAGTGGGCCATTCTTTGGCCAAAGGTTACAGTACACAGTATAGTTAATTTTAGCAGTTAATTTTCTCATTTCAAAGTTTAATTGAGATGTTAATTGTTACAACTGTAGTTCTATGTAACTGGAAAACTCTGTAACTCTTTTCTTTAAGGAAATTAAAACTAGAAGAAGTCCTTTAGGCGAAGACAAGAGAATCACTAAATTTAAGGATTCATACATTATTAAATCTGGAAGGAATGCAAGATTTCTAAACAGTTCCAAACCCACACCATGAGAAAATGAAGACAAAGTACTTGCCCAAGATTACAGTGACAGTATCGGAATATGGCTATACATTAGATCTCTTGGCTTCTAGGACACATAGTTGATATATAGAGGCTTTATTATTTTATGTAGAATGAATTGTACCGTGTTACCACCACAGTGGAAGTATGGGAGTAAATAAACACACAGCAAGAGTCTGTAGAAAGATGTGGATGAATAAATAAAGAAATAATAGCTTTAAAGTGGGATGTTATTCTGATGTCACTGATTTTGAATTTACAAAAATTCAGATATGAACTAAGCTAATACTTACTCAGGAAATCTTTGCTATAAAACAACTTTAATGTAATAGTGTTCAACAAGATTAGGAGAGAAATGTTTAAATATTTAAGAGAAAAAATAATTCTTTATATGTCTTTGAGAATTCTTGAAATTTTTATGTATGTATGCATAATTGTATCAGGTTAATTACAACTTCTTACATACTTAGTAAGCAAGTCCACTGAAGAGGTCTTTTAGGTAACACTTTGTTACCCTAGTTTTACTTACTGAGTGAGCTGGAGCACTATAGCTAAAATTCTTTTTTTTTTTTTTTTAAAGATTTTATTTATTTATTTGACAGAGAGAGAGGCAGCGAGAGAGGGAACACAAGCAAGGGGAGTGTGAGAGGGAGAAGCAGGCTTCCCGCCGAGCAGGGAGCCCGATGCGGGGCTCGATCCCGGGACCCTGGGATCATGACCTGAGCCGAAGGCAGACGCTTAATGACTGAGCCACCCAGACGCCCCTATAGCTAAAATTCTTTAAAACTACTTTACAGTACAGAAGTTCCTTCTAGTTCAGATTTCCCCTTAATAAATAAACACAGAGCTCTGTTGTTTTGTAAACGGAAGAGGAAACCAGCTATGAGGCTAAAACTTAAATTTGCTTACTATCATTATAAAATTATATCTTGGCATGGCTCCGCTACTTGTGATGGCAAATGGTTCTTATTGTAGCAACTGAGTTTTAGATAATAATATCACTTTAGACAAATTATTAAAAAACAAGAACATGAAAGTGACAGAGATTGATCAAAACCATGCAGAAACTGGAAAGGGGAATGCCTATATTTAGAAGAGAATGGCAGTGGCTGAGTTTCCTGTTTTCACTCTTTTAGCAGAAGGGCAGGTCCCAGTCAGGAGAGGGGGCACATGAGCTTAGAGACTCTAAGAAATACAGGCCAGAGAAATATAGGGCACCCACAGTAGGTATAAAGTGAGGAAGGAAATACCAAGAAAGGGCAAAATCAAAGAAGGAGAGCCCCAATTCACCATACAAACTTTACCCAAATCTATTTCTCTGTGGTACTGAATCCAAGAAACCCAGTTAAAGGTAAATGAACTGAAGAGAGATTCTAAGCTGCTGTCAATGAAGAGGAGTTTGGGTTTGACATTTAGAATTGAGTGTAGAATAGTAAACTGTCTGCTTAACACACATGCCCACATCCCAACCACTATTAACACCAACAATTCTTCATAGGAATATAACAGAACACAAAATCTCTACCATATATTACCCATGATGTCCAAGATATAATTCAAAATTACTAGACATGCAACAATATAAAAAATTGACTGGGAAGAACTGACTGAGAGAGGAGGCATTATTTTGGTCTCCACTGAGCCTAACAAAGTCTCAAAGAAAGCATGACTTATACTCAATGGAGACTAAAATAATCCAGATATTAATTGATCAAAGAAGGATTTTAAAGTAGCTATTATAACTATGCTCAAGAAGATAAAAAAAAAATAAACCTGTAATAAATGACAAATAAAAAAACCAGATAAACAAAAACTAAAAAGAAATCAAATGGAAATTATAAAACTATAAAATAAAATATAACAAAGAAAAAATTATTGGATGGGTGTAGCAGATTGGAACTGACAGAGGAGTCTGGAACATGAAGAAATATCAATAGAACTTATGCATCCCGAAGAACAGAGGGAAAAGATTGAAAGAGAAATTAAATAAGTACCTGTGGAACAACATCAAAGTAACTAACAAATATGCCTTGGAGTCTTTGAAGTGGAGGAGAGACAGTGAATGAAGCAGAAAAAATATCCGAGGAAGTAACTGCTGAAAATTTCCCCCAAAAGACATAAACCAATATTTAAGAACCTCAATGAACCCTAAGCAGGACAAATACAAAGAAAACCATGTCTGTGGACAGCATGGTCAAACTGCTGAAAACCAAAAATAAAGATACAATCCTGAAAACATCCAGAGAAAAATAACACATTACAAACACAGAAACAATAATACAAACTCCTGACATATGATTAAAACAATGGATGCCAGAAAACAGGGGAATATCATCAAAGTACTGAAATAAAACTACCAACTCAGAATTCTACATCCAGTGAACGGATCTTCTAAAAATGAAAGGATATTTTCAGAAATATGAAAATTAGGAGAAACCATCACCAGCCAACCTGCACTGTAACAAATGCTAAAACAAAATTTAGTAGAGCAAAATAGGAAAGTAATACCAGAAGGAAGTCTGAGCATAAAAGAGAGAGAGACACAGAAAGAGAAAGAGAGAGAGAGAGAAATGAGCAACAGTAGGGATGGTAAATGTTAGTTTATTTTTTCTCTTAGTTTCATTGAGATACATTTGATTGTTTAAGGCATAAGTAGTATTATGGTTTATAACATGTGGAGATATAAGATGTATAACAACTATAGCATAAAGGAAGGATAAGAGTAAAGTACACCAGTCTTATAAGAGTCTCACATTTTATGTAAGTAGTGCAATAACTCCAAGTACGCTGAAAATTTAAGGATATATTGTAACCCTTAGCATAACCACTGAAAAAATGATGCAAAGAGGTATCACTAAGAAATGAGTAGATGAATTAAAATGAATTTCTTAAAGAGTATACAACCCAAAATAAGACAAGAAAGAAAAACTGAGAATCAAAAATAGAACAAGCAGAAAACAAATAGCAAAATAGTTGAACTATATCTAACCATGTCAATAAATACACTAAATTTCAAGGAAATGCAGACTCAAAGTATAATGAGTCACTGTTGAATATCCATTAGAATGGTTAAAAATAAGAACAATAACAAGAGTTGATGAACATGTGAAGCAACTGGAACTCTCACATATTGCAGGTGGAAGTATAAAATGATACAAACATTTTTTGGGGGGAAAAAAGTCTTGGAGTGTCTTTAAAAACTAAACACATATATATTCTGTGACTCAGTAATTTCATTCCTAGCTATTTACCTAAGAGAAATGAAGGCATTTGCCCACGAAGACTTGTATAATAATGCTCACAACAGGTTTACTCAGAATACCTCAAAAACTGGAAACAGCCTAGGTGTCCACAAAATGAGAATAAATACATTGATATATTCATACAACAGCACATTACTCAGCAATAAAGAGGAATAAATTACACTTATACTGAAAAACAAATTTCAAAAACATCCTGAGTGAAAGAAATTTCACTCAAAAGAGCGTATGTACTACATTTTCTTTATATGATTTCCAGGACAGAAAAAAACTAATCTATGATGAAAAAATCAGGACAATGATTGCCTCTCTGTGGTGGCAGGAAATGACTGGGAAGAGGCATGCAGGAACTTTCTGAACTGATGATAATGTTTTATATCTTGAGAAGGGTTTAGAAAACATCAAGTTTATACCTGTATCAATACATGTCAAATGGGATATTTAACAACTGAATGGCTTACTGTGTATAAATTTTAGCTTAAAAAAAAAGAACCATAAACAAATTATACATAATGAAGTATTAAGCCAAGAAGTGTACTAATATCTGTAGCTTACTTTGCAATGCAGCAAAAAAAAAAAAAAGATGGACTGACAGATGGACAAAAGAATAATTAGATGCATCGATATAACAAATGTAAATATATAAATATGTAGATAATACAGCAAACATAGTACAATGTTCACTCTAGAATCTAGATGGCAGATACATGGTGTTAAGTCTATAATTCTCTTAATATTTTTGTATGTTTGAAAATTTTTATAATAAAATGTTAGAAAAAAATCAGTATCTTGCTTTACCCAGAAGAAAGCTATTAAAAAAGTTTGAGTAGAAGTCATTAAGTATGGTTAAGCATAAAATGGCTGTTTCTAAAAATCTGAATTATGAGAAAAACAGAGCACGTTTTCCATATCTCTGAAGCAAACTCAACAACTTTATCCACTCTGCACCGGAAAAAAGAAAAAAAAAAAAACAAAAAACTTATCACTGACCTTTTTTCTTTTCCTTTGCTTGGTTTTAGCTGAGTCTTGTCCAGCACTCCCATTCCCTAGGGATCCTGATGTGGTTTTCCCTGAGTGCTGTGATCCAGATGATGGAGCAGTCGGTGTAGGAGGAGGTGTGTTCTCAGGGGACTCTGGGTAGGACTTCATGCAAGACCCCTGCCCAAAGAGATGTGCCTTTGAAATCGAGTGACCAGGACTTGCACTAACATTCAATTGTGTTTAATATCTCCTGAATTCAAAACTTCTTGAAGCTTACAAATATCAAAACATGATTTATTATCCAGTTCACAGAAATGATGCCTCATTTGTCCCTATTGGTCTAAATATGTTAATTTTTAATCTGTTTAGTCATTTAGATAAAATCAGGATTTCTCAAGATGCAGCCTCCAAAATTTCTGCTGATTTTGCCAGATACAGAGATTTCTACTTGCAAGTTTTGTTAGCATGTCGGACTTACATGTCTCAAAAGGCACCTCTGAATCCCCACCCCCCAAACTGGATGGTACAGACAGTATTTCTTATCAGCATGGCCGGCCTTCTACCAGTGACTCCAACTCAGTGTCTGAGGGTCACTGTGGATATTTCCAGCTCCTTTTATTTCTAGTTCCTTTCTTCTTTCATAATATCCCTCATTTCTACCTGGTTTCTTCGGCTGCGACTGCAAATCTGTTTTCTTCCATGTGGATGCACTTCAAATATTTGAGGACTACTACCTTTCTCAGCCTCTTTTCTTTTATAGGTCAAACTGCCTCAAATTCCTTCAACCATTTATTATGAGACATGTTTTCAGGTTCCTTCACCCTCTCATTACTCTCCTTTAGACATTATCTACTGGGTCACTGTCCATCCTCTAGGATGGTGCCTGACCACTAAACAAGACAAAAAAAGTTTTCTTATCAGTAACATCACGATATTGGCTCCTAAGAAATTTACAGTCCAATAAAAGTCTGTAAGTCTTTTTCATATATGGTATTATTAATCTACAGCTTCCTTATCCTACCAACTATACTAAGCCATACTACCTGCTGGCCTACACTTCTCTATAATGCTATGTATTTGTATTTAAAAAACTATGCTAAATTTTGTAAAATGTTTGGCTGAAATGCACATATTGGTTTCAAAAGTATATCTGTCTATTGTTCTGTTGAGAACTGTATTATTTATTTAAAGTTAAAAATGAGCAAGTTTAAGGGAAGCTAGTAAAGAATATACTGGAACTCTGTATCATCTTTGCAATGGTTCTGTAAATCTAAAAATTATTTTAAAATAAAAAGATTTTTAAAGAAAAAAAAAGTATTTCTTTGATTTGCCTGCCTAGGAACCTTATCAAACAAGAAGGAATAAGCCTAATTTGGCATGAGTTATTTTTAGAAAAAACAAGATAACTCCTAGAGATCACTGCTTCCTGTGCATAAACCATATATTAGGAAAAAAAAATTTTTTTTAGAAGATTTTATTTATTTATTTGACACAGAGAGAGATAGCCAGAGAGGGAACACAAGCAGGGGGAGTGGGAGAGGGAGAAGCAGGCTTCCCGCTGAGCAGGGAGCCCGATGCGGGGCTGGATCCCAGGACCCCGGGATCATGACCTGAGCCGAAGGCAGACGCTTAATGACTGAGCCACCCAGGTGCCCCTAGAAAAAAATTTTTAAAAATTAAGTTCAATTGGGGTGCCTCGGTGGCATAGTCGGTTAAGCATCCAACTCTTGGTTTTGGCTCAGATAGTTATCTCAGGGTCCTGGGATTGAGCCCCGCGTTGGGCTCCATGCCTAGTGTGGAGTCTGCTTGGGATTCTCTCCTTCCCTTTCCCTCTGCCCCCCGCCCCCCTCCACCATGCGCTCTCACTCTCTCTCTCAAATAAATAAATAAATCTTTAACAAAAATTAACTTCAATTAATATTACACCTGCCAATCTGAGAACCCAAGCTTAACTAGCTTGGTTCCTCATATGTTTAATACTCAAAAATGATAGTCATTAAAAGAGAATGTATTGTGTATTAACATCATGCCTTGAGAGCTTCTGATTCCAATCCATTGTACATAGCACCTCCCTTTGGATCTTCTAAAACACCCATTTGAACTCATCACCCTTTAGCAGCCATGAAACCTTCAACTCTTCCTTAACTCTAAGAGCCTAAGGCTCAATTTTCTAATCTGACTTCTTCCTTCTGCTCCTCAATGAATCCTTTGCTCGAATATTTTAATCAGAGTTTTGTTTCTCCCTTGTACAGTTATGCCTATGCTGCCTCTGAGGCCTAGAGCATTCTCCCCACTTTTACCATCTCATCAAAGTCTCTATTTTCCCTCAAAGCCAGCATCCTCTCAAGTGCTTTGCAGTCGGGGCTTGTTTTTACCTCTGCACTTCTGGTCTATGCCACTCATTTGGAAATTAGCATCTATGCTATCTTGAATTGTCTTTTTTGTTTGTTCTCTATTTTCTTGTTTGTTTTACAGAATGTCTTATCTCCCTGAATACAGATCATACCAGTCTTCGGAGTCCCCCTTTTGTACCCAATTTGGTAAAGCCCTCAAAGCAGGCCCTTGACGTTGGTTGCTGGTTTGTTAAGGTTGATGAGTAAGATTCCTACTTTAGAGTGGCCATTCTCTGTGTTTTGTCAGGTAATAAAGGGCAGGAAGATTTCCAGTCCCTCTGAATGTTCATTTTGACCACTAGTCGTAGGAGGAGGGGTGTCTGGAAGGCCAGGGAAACGCTTGAGGCTTTGCTAACATATTTAGGCGGGATGCTTTCCGACACTCCTGCTCCCGCCTCCCAGAGAGCCCGGGAAACCCAGCACACACAGGCCATTTTTCTTAACTGCTGGGTAGCTGGGAGCAGCAGTTGTGGTTGCTGAGCAGTTGCCCAGGGCAGCTTGGCCACCCTGGAGAACCAAGAAAGAAGGGAAATAAAGAGTTTTCCTAGCCATGCAAGCAATCCCTTGAATGTTAAGGGAAAACTAGGCTTGTTATGTTCACTGTAAATTTCTTCAATTAGAAATGTTACAACAAATTTGTCTGATGTTAATGAAAAGCATACTTATACACATATTCATAAAGTGAACATGTACCAAAGATATCTTTAAAGGGTGTTCTTTGACACCGTAATTTGGGTTTGTAACATAAAGAAAACAAAGTGTTTAATCAACTGGGTAAACTTTAGGGACTTTTAAAGTATGATGACTGATAATGATGTATGATCTTTTCTAAGAAAAAAATGGATTTTTAACAGGCATAAACATTTAAATTTCTACTTGGATTCCAAGCCAATCTGATTCTCCAATGGGCACAAAAAGATGTCAAACTTTTGGCTTGAAATAAAATATATTGGTTTGTATCTTTATGTAGTTTCTAAGTATCCTAGAGCACACATACTTAAACTTGGGGTCCATCACAGACCACTTAGATCCATAGAATGATTTCAGAGGGTCTCTGAACACCCTGAAATTGTATGCAACATTTGTGAATGTGCTTATGGAGACAGGAATTAGAGTTTTTGTCAGATTCTCGAAGGGGCTTAGACATTTTCCGGTTATACATTTCACCCAGCTTTATCCAAAGCTCACTTCATAATTACACATGGAGATGTTAAGCTAACCTCCTTGCTGCCTTCTCTCTGGTTATTAGATTGAACTACATGGAATTGCTGTATATGCCAGGAAAAAGGGTCAAATATCAGCAAATTCATTCAATAGATGATACTACATTTCTAGTTTGTAAGTACATGACACTCACAGAGAGTCTTTCTTATACTACAAGTGGTACACAGTTATTGCACAATGCCTTAAAGTTGGCCAGACCACTTCATCGCCCCCCTAGGCGGAGGTCCCAGCAACATAAACTCGGTCAGAAAGGATGTGATCCTCACATGATAGGGCCAGTGTGGACACAGAATAAATGGAGCCATGCTCCTTTAAATCATGTTTAGAGATGGGTCAATAATTGGGAAATAAAATGATTAATAAATGTCAGGAGTTATTAGGACATGAATAATAATGATTCTCTTGTCTTTGAGGCACAAAGAAATAAAGAACTATTCTCAACATTGTTCATTTGCCCAAATCAGTTGTTCACCTCCCATGGAAATGAGGCATGCTCTCCAACTATTCCTCTTTCACTGAAGGGCTAGGGAAGCTAAATAAGGTCAGAAATAGGTGAAAAGATAATTGTATTAAGTGGATTATTAAGGCCTGGAACAGTCGGTGCTCAGTAAATGTTTGTTTGAATGTTACTGAGTATGTTAAGATTCCTGATTGAAGGCTACACATTCCTACATTACCTTTTTCAAAGAACTACTCATGTAAACACCAGACACATGAAAAACCCACAGAGGTGTCAAAGACAGATTTTTTGCTACTTACCTCAGCAGAGTTGTGATACTGAATGAAGGTTGCAGAAATGGCATGGCTGAAGGGGTCTCCTGCCTTGGTTACCATGTCCTGCCTCACCAGAAGAGCCAGGTCCACTAACTAGAAGATCAAAGCAATGAAAATAAAGTCACATAACTGGGAATAATCAATCACCAATGTCACCGAAGTGGCAAAACTAAAAGCAATACATTCCAAGTGTTATTGATAATACGGTCTGCTTAAAAATCTGTATTGTGGACGTGAGCATATGCTTTCATTGATAAGTAGACCTACCCATGAATATAAACAATGTATTCTGACTTTTTAAGGGAGCACTTCTCAAATTTTATTTAATAATCATTAGGGAAGTATTTTAAAATACAGATTTCTGTGCTCTGGACACCAAGATTCTAATTTGGTAGGTATGCTCTGGGTTACATTTTCAGCAAGAAGCAAGGAGAAGCTGATGCTTGTGGTCAGAGGACCATGCTTCGAGAAGCTGTCAGAGAGCAGTGATTCTAGACTCAGGTTTTGGCAAGCACTCAGGAGACTGTACATAGCTAGAAAGATATGTTTCAGAGCTCAAAAATAATCTCTAAACAAGGCAGATGTGTACTGAGAATTCAATGTTGAGAAAAAGTATGTAGGGATTCCATTTCTGGTTAGGATTGAGTTGCAAGCAACAGTCACTTTTACACTAACACCTGCCAGGGCTGAGGATACAAAGAAACATAACTGAACTAAATTCCAGAAAATGGTAAGATTGTCATAGGATAAAACTCATGGTTGTTCTCATTCCTGGTAGAGTAGCAGGTGGAGGAACTTTGATCATGGACAGGGATAAGAAGAAAGGGATGCCTGGGTTGGCTCAGTGGTTTAAAGCATCTGCCTTTGGCTCAGGTCATGACCCAGGGTCCTGGGATCGAGTCCCGCCATTGGGGTCCTTGCTTAGCAGGGAGCCTGCTTCTCCCTCTGCCTGCCACTCCCCCTGCTTGTGCTCTCTCTCCCCCTCTCTCTCTGATAAATAAAATCTTAAAAGAAGAAGAAGAAGAAAGCAGTCCTGTATGGCCTGCTATGACAGATATTAGCATTCTTACCTGTGCCACTGTTTCATATGCTAAATACGCTAAAATTTCCATTGCGACAACATTGGGTTTTATCTCCATACTGCTGCAGTCCAACCAGTCTCGAAATTTGGAGGCCTTTTTGGCTGGCCATCAAAAAAACAAATATGGAGAATTTAGTTTTTGAAGTGTTTTAATACTGCATATTACTATCACAAAATGAAAAATGTCTCTTGAAAATTGCATTTGAAAAATAATGCATATAAAACACCATGCTTTTGAAGTTTCAATTAGTGTCAAGATATTCAAGCCCCAAGAAATTCCTTATGCATTTGGGTCTTTGATTTTGTATCTGTGCTACCTAACACAGTATACTAAATGACTTAATATTCAGCATTTCTCACAGTGTCAGAGTAAGTTACCACTGGCCATAGCTTATGTTTTAACAAAAGTCAGAGGGGTTGCTTAATGCAACTTTAACCTATTCTTGTGGAAAGAAATTCCTGCAAGAAAGAGCCTGGGATGGAGAAAGAACATACAGAAATTGTATTTGCAGTACATTTCCAAATGTGTCTATTACCAGAATAGGTTCAAAGTCACACATTTAGAATACAATAGAAAAAAACTTAGGCCTGCAGTTACGTTTTTCTGACTACAAAGATGTCCAAATTCCTAAGCCTCCGAACTGATTTCAATTTCTTTCTGTTACTGCCTGCTGAAATGCCACCTGGCATTGAGTCTAGCCCTCTCTATGTTCACTGCTGCTCCTTTTCCTCCATGGAATGCCATCCCACCTCTCTTCCTCCTTCACATGAATCCCGCCTATACTGTGTAGTTCCCCACACTGGTCATTTACTGAACTCTTGTATCATCAGATATCCTTTCATGTCTGCTTTTAATTTCTCGAACCATATTAGAAACACCATGCATCATGTCTCTCTGCATACCTAACAGTACCAAGCGCACGTGGAACCTTCCGGTTCATATCTCCAAAATGCCACAGTACTAAGCACAGCCTAACTTGATGTAGAGCCTTTATTAGATATTACTAATCTAACTAGTAATCTACAGGGAGGAGATTGATGGTAAAGATTTTATCATATCTATAACATAATAATCTTGTAAAAAAATCCACTGATTATTCTTTTGGTTAATCTGGTCCCATGGGTCTATTAAAACACTTAACCGTCACTCAAAGCATGATGTTTCTATCCTTATAGATGTGGTCTTCATGGATTCCAAGTACAGAAGAGTTTTTTTTTTTTTTTCCAATAAATCACAGAAGACTTGAAGTCTTGCTATGGAAGTGCATGTCCAAAGCTGTCAACTGTGGCAGAATTATGATAATCCTCTTAAAGCTATCTCCCTAAAGTAACCAATCTTCCACATACTCTCTGACATGCAACATTCCATCTAACTAGTCAGCTGCATTAGCTCACAAACACTTGTTTAACATCTGTGGAATACTTCTGAAGTCAAAGTTAACAGGCGGCAATTTGGCAAGATCAATAAAATGTACCTTGTTCACTTCTCCCTTTGACAGTTTGTTAAGAACGCAGAAACAAGGTATTTTGTGACTATGCTCTAAACGATTTATTTTAAAAGAGAGGGAAAGGATAGATGGTTCTTAGTGTTCCATAGGATCTGTCCACCTAAGCAACAGAATTGGTAGCTTCCTCCCTAGATGTTAAGTACTGAGAATGCAGGGATGAGGGCCCTGTGTCCACCACTGTATCCCCAGCACCTAGAATACTGCCTGGCATCAGCAGTCTCACAATAAATATTTCCAGAAAAAAAAATGAATGAATGGACAAATGAAAGATATTTCTTTAATAAAAGGGTAGGGTCTCTGTTCTGTAGCAGAAAAGGCGCACAGAGGGTCCCATAAAACCACTGGGAGCTACTGCTATTCCAGCAACAGGTGAACATTCCCTGAGATAATGCCCTGTCACCTGCAGAAGGACTGCTTCAGGGACAGACCTTCCCATGGTATTGCTGGTTCCAGCAAAAGAGGCACAGATACTCCTAGTCATGACAGTTTGTTTCTGTTGAGAGGTGGGGGGCATCAGAATGAATGAGTTCCTTCACCTTTACTGCTTTTCTCAATATATCAGGAGAAAGGGTAATTGGGGACATCGATCAACAATTTAAACAGAATCCTTAACACAGGTCAGAAGTTCCCAAGATTATCAGCCTTCTGACACTATCTGGTTTTTTAGCTTGTGCTGGAATTAAAACAACTTTTTATAATAACTTCATATGGGAAATTTAAGGTTAGTGAACCCTCATACGTGTCTTTTTTTCTTTCTCATTATTGACCACTAGTAAAATCTAAGTTTCTCTCAATATCCCATTCTCACATCCCTGCATACTATCTCACTATTTCTATGTCATCCCTCTCACCAGTCTTTCCATTCCCCATCCTTTCCTTAGGGCCCTCTGTAATGGTCAGTCCACTCTGAAGAAATTCTTCCGCAACTTCAGTCTCTTCAAAATTACTGCTATTTGGATTAATTGCAAATAGTCTTTCTCAGAGGGCATGCTTTTCCCTGGAGTCTTTTATAGTAGAGGTTCCTTATTTCTTTCCTTCTGTACATATTTATTGATCAGTCACTGACTGCCAACCTGTTCATTTCCCCATACACCAGAGGGGTGGGGGGGGGGTCACATCTTCATTCTCTTAGTTTCTCCCACAGGGAAAATACAGGACAAGTGGACAGAGACTTCTTACCAACAACAGAGGCTAAAAAAAAAAAAAAAAAAAAAAAAAAGGATCCTGTTTTAACAAATGACTACTAGCCCACAACTTCCTACCCAACTAAACTACCATTTAAGTATGAGGGCAAAATAAAGCATTTTTAAGACAAAAATGAGTGCTTTAAGCACTTACAGAGCCTTGGGAAAAACAAAATTAAGCTGACAAGGCATGTTTACTAATTACCAACTTTAAAAAATTTAAGTCAAGGACGCATTTTAAAAAATTAAGGATAGCAACTACAATAATAGAACTAGAATATACACTATACAAACTGGTTGAGAGAAAATGGAATGAAGAAAATCCAATTAATCCAACAAAACAATGAAAAGGAGGAGGAAAAGCAAAAAAAAAAGGCACAGTATATTTAAAACACAAAGACAGCATATATAAACCCAATGTATAAGTAATTAAACACACACAAATTAAAATTATCAATTAAAATATCTCAGACTTGACTAAAAAGAAAATCTATATATTTGTTTACAGAATCCACATACAAAACAAAAGGCTGAAAGAAAAGGCTTGGGAAATGATTTGCCAATTTATAACTAAATTTAATCTTTGTGAATTAATATGAATATCAGATTTTAAAAGACTTTCAGGGAAATGACTATCTAACTTACATAAATATAAAAACAAAAGACTGGTGAATTTGATCCCAATTCTACAACTTACCTTCAGTCTATAAAGTCATAGACTTGTAAATTTTAAAATGCACCAGTAGTCCCAATCAGTGAATGCTACGATCCAATATTTAAGAAGATACAAACAGCTGGATCGCAATTCCTATATCCTGGTAATTTATCAGAAGGGGAGAAATGAAAAGAGCCTAACATTCTGACCAGTTGTGGGTATTAGTTCTGAATTTGCGGACCCACTTGGATTAAGCATTCCCAACCACAGCACTTTGGCATATAAAACAGATTCTTCCACTAGGGTTTCATAATGAAGCACCTATGGGCATCATACAAAGAAATATTTTTAAATGCCCAAATTCCTCTTCTTTTAAAAAAAAGTAAGCATAATATACTGTTTATAATTATTTTATATAGAAAGGGAAAGCATTAATTTTTAATTTACTATACTTTATTACTGAGTTATAAACAAAAAACTGAGTTGTTAAAAATGTGATTTTCAAACACAAGATGTATTAGGACCCTTCAGTGGCTATACATTTTAGCGTGAAAACAGCACTTCTGTTCCTTTAAGTGAATTAAATTTAAAATATGATTTTAAAAAATAGTTCAATAGCACTAAATGTTACTTTATAAACTGGAAATTTATACTTATAAAAGACTTGAATGCCATTTTTAAACCTAAAAATTACAATACAAAAACCTCTCATTTGCTGAAATTGCCATGATCTGAAGTGTCATTTACTTAATGCTTCACAGATGTACGATGCCAAATTGTTAGTCAGACTGCAAAGTATATTTAGTTAGGAAAAAAAGCTTCCAAAACATGTTTTCCTATATTTTACTGACATTTACATGGGGCACTATTTGAAATGTGTCATTTATTTGCACTTTATGATCTATAAATGAAGCTCTCATTTTCTGTTTTCAAATCAAATACATTGTTATTATGGCCACAGAACAGTTTTTCCGTTTAAAGACACCATTGTGTCTATAATCCCTCAGACCAGGGTCATGTGCTTCTCTGTCAGATTTTTAACTGGACTTTTCATCACACTTACTCTTTGACCTTTCCCCTGAGAGGCTTAGTCATCATTGAACTGTTGCGGTAAGGATGTTTGCTACACAACTGAGCCCACTATTTATCACGAGCCTTTATGTACTTTTAGTAAGCCTGTGTGCAATGATGGGACGGTACTAATTTTATCACTAGGTTATTAGTGTTACAAGAGCACAGACTGATGAATTTGGCTAACACTGAATGCTTGTCACAGTAAGAGGTTACAGACAAAAATGGAAGAGACTATTGATACATTTCCTTGTGGTAATATGAGTAGGCATAAATAAATGGAAAGCTTGGTATTTATTAATATTGGGGGCTTTTAAATGTCATGACTGTGCTACTAGAGTCCATTATGGGGTCAAGTACAATCAGCAATACTAGTGTTAGTAGGACGAAGAAACTGGAAAATAAAATGAGAATGTTAAAGAAAATGGAATTTTTCAGACTAAAAGTAATGTGAATAATTAACATGGTTCTCTGTGTCTTACTAGCACCCTTTAAAACCTCTTTGGACTATTAATTACAAAACGGTAGAGTGGGGTAAAATCTTTTATAGAGTCCCCTACAATGCAGGGGCTGTTTCTAAGTTATAACTATGCATACGTTAAATTCACCCATTTCTAAGGAATGGAGATTGTGTCATACTTTCGTTTATCTGTAACACATGATCTCTTAAACATATAATGAAGCAAAATTAAACATTTACTTACAGAAACTTAATTGTCGACTTTCACAGAATTCTGCATATTGGGCTGAATCCATAATTCGAGTTTGTCTTTCTGCTCTCTGACAGATAAAAAGACACAAACAATGTTTCAGAGCAAGTAGACCATTATCTATGTCTTCTTGGCTAAAATGCAGAATTGAAATTCCATTTTCCTTTCCTGACTTTAAGTAAACAGTTTCATACCACCATAAATATCATGAAACTTGAAATTATGATAAGTAACAGTAGTTTTGCAACTTGTGTCTTTTGGAAGCGAAGTTTAAAATGCCATTTTCTCCTCCTCTGTTACTGTCACTATATTGAAAAAGCTAAAGGATCTTACTTCTTAGATTGTGTACTAAATTTTCTTAATTGTACCATCCTTTCAAAGAAAAGCTGTGAGGGGGTAATAAATCAAACAGAAAAAACTGCTAATCGTTATTGCCCATGTACTGCCTTAAAGCTAGGGATTTCCAATGTTAAAATCTGAGTCAATGAATGGACCCCATATATTTTCCCTCAGTTAGAACATGGAGCCAGAGCTAACAAATCCATATTTTAAATTGCAAAGAAAATAAAGAAAAAGGTAAACACAACACAAAACCTTTCATCTGAGTCCAGGTATGATTCACAGTTTGGTATAGTTTCATTCGTGGGTTTCTGATTCAGTATAGCAGATGTTTGCTGCTTCATTGTCCCACAAGAGGTAGGATAATTATAATTCACCCATAGTTCGGTGGGAAAGAATATGACCGCTTCCGCTTCCTTGGCAAGGGAAGCATTTTGAAATGAGACAGGATGGTACTTCTTGGAATGAGATTCTGGCCAGTAAAGGAAAAAATTCCCTGAGATGTTAATTTTTTTTCTGCTTTGAAGGACTTTTGGTAAGTTTTCTTTATCACAGTTGGAGTACATAAGTACCACTAACGTCTGGATGTTTTTATATTTTTTTAAACTGAAATTATTCTTTCTTCATTTTGTTTGATTTGGGTAGTAGTCAACTTAATTCTGAGGATATATCTGTTGATGGGATGAATAATGGTACACTAACTGCTGCTCAATACAGGAAAGACAGATGGGGTGGTGGGAGTTAGACTAACTCCTGTGGTTCCTTCTAAGACCACTGACTATTTTTACCCTTGCTTCTCTTCTTCTACTCCGTCCCTCCCTTCTTTCCTTCCTAATCTCCCCCTCACCCGATACATACAAACATGCATATGTGCAGACATAAACCCAGACTTCTTTATTTACCCTCTAGGTTCAAGTATCCTTTTTGAACGTGTATTACATATGTACATTACATAATAGACACACATACACACACAGACACACATACATACATGTGCATAAAGATCCTCTTGTGCATAGATCTGAAACATTAGGTTTCCTTAAGGGTATATTATTGGGTGAATTTTTATATACTTAGAAGTATTTTTTTAAAAAGATTTATTGATTTATTTTAGGGGGGAGGGGCAGAGGGAGAGGGAGAGAGAATCCCAAGCAGACTCCCCGCTGAGCATGGAGCCTGACGTGGGGCTCAATCTCAGAACCCTGAGATCATGACCTGAGCCGAAACCAAGAGTCAGATGCTTAACTGACTGCACCACCCAGGCGTCCCTACTTAGAAGTATTTTTTGATATGTGAATGCATTATTTAGTCTTGTCCTTCTTTTTAGTGTATCTGATACATGACTCAGTAAGTATATGCTAATGGACAGTAGGAAGTAAGGGAGAATTCTGAACATAACAAATCAGTTACTGATGTGTTTATTAAAAAAAAGTTCTAAGGCTAACAGTGTATCATTAATGTCTGTCTTTGACTATATCAGGAATCTCTCAGATTTATTTTCTAGCTCCTAGAGAATTTCTGATACATGGTACATGAACAATGAAACCTCCGTGGATTGAACAAATGCTACCATTTTAGTCTACAATCACGGCAAATGACCATCATCACCATGATGTGGCTAGTCCTTGATTATCCATGCATTCCTGTAAGTCTTCTCTGTTGCTTTCCAGCCAGGCAGCCTCACCCCACCCAACACATGCGAAACAGAAAGGACTTAGATAAATATGGAAAACAAAAATTCCTAATGGGATTCTTAACACTAACTTTTCTTCCACCATGTTGGACAATTGAGATTTGGTCTCTGTATACATGCTTACATGGTTGATGTATCTGAATAAGTTATTTCTGGAAATGAAAGTTAGGAAAACCTATCCTAGGAGATTCAGGCTGCCAGGGTTGCCAGTTTTAATCAAGCGAGGCGTTTAGCTAGATGGGAAATCCTGAACCACATTTAAAAGACACGGAAGGCCTTTCAATTACTATAGCTAGCTTCATTCCTTTCAGACACCCAATTCAGTGTCTATCATCTTTCCTTCATCAGGCATCGTAGTTTGGTTTCAATTCCTCTAGCATCGAAGCAGTGGAGTCTCATGAAGCTGGCCCTAGGGCCCATGCAGGAAGCCACTGACCAAGTGTCCATACAGCAAATGCTCCGGGAAGAGCAGCTGACGTAACAGCAAAGATGCACAAGCATCTATAAAACCACGGCATGTTGGGCCACCCAGGTGGCTCCGTCAGTTGAGCGTCTGGCTCTCAGGGTTGTGAGATCAAGCCCCGTGTCGGGCTCTGTGCTGAGTGCGGAGCCTGCTTAAGATTCTCTCTCTCTCCCTCTGTCCCTCCCCCTGTGTGTGCATGTGCATGCTCTCTCTAAAAAAATAAAAAAAAATAAAAATAAAAACCACAGCCTATCAGAACTAGAGGGTGACTTAAAGGTCATCTTGTTCAAACCCCCTCATTTTAAAGATAAGGAAATTGAGGTTCAGAGAGAAGTGATTTGCCAAAGGTGATCAAGTTAGCACTGAAGGCCAGGACTCTCAATTCCCAAGCCAGCCTATTTTCATTATGAGAAGCTGTCTTCGACCTACAGTAATGTTTTATATTTTTGTTTGGAATCCTCTAAAGTCTCTACATTCCCTTACTAAACCGTATCACGTGGCCACCATAATTGATGGGCTCAAAGTGTTCATGACCAAACAAAATTAAGTAAGGCCCTGGGTCAGCAAAGAAGGCACAACCTGGGGATAATTAAGTGCAGAGGGTTCCAACTGTAATGTACCTGACAGTGCACAGGTGTGCTGCAAACACATCACAGGTGTGCAAACATACTGTCCCCCAAACCCCCACCACCTCTACCCCACCCGACCTTTTCAATGCTGCACAAGGTTGGGGCAGCAGAATCCCAGGGCTGGTATCTTGCCATAAGTTGCCTTGTCCGTTTACCTCAGTGTGGCATAAAAATATCATTTTCTATGTGTGCCATGACATGAAAGAGGTTGGGAAGCAGTTGTACTAATACCAATGTCCTTAATATTACATGACACAGCACATGCGTGCTATTCACAGCATGGTCAAGTGCACTCAAAATGAAATCAGAGACACTGACTGGCAGTCAAGGATGCTGAGGATGATACAGATATGCTCATCATGCTAATTTCTGCTTACTTCTCTCTTTTCCCCATGAATTATTTCAAATAACCAAAGTAAAGGGACAAATGTGGCCTTGTGAAAGGATCCAAACTCAGCATCTGATTATATTATCTCCAGTCTGTACACTATCACCTTAAAATGGGAAAGGCAGGAAATATCTAACCGTTACAGGCTATGTGTTCTTTAAAGACAGTAACTATGTTTTCCTTCTGTCATCTCAGCGTTGGCCAATGCTTAGCTTGGTTTACCCGGGCCCCAGTAAATGTTGCTGGCTAGCTGAATGGGCAGAGGGATGGAATGGATGGAGGCAAAAGAAATGCGTATAAATCCTTGTTGTCTGATCTAAAATCAGGAACTGTAATATTTGTAATCAAGTTGTCCAAATTCCAGAGACAGTAGGCAGCTTTTTAAAGACAAAGTCCCATTAAAAAAAAGGCAAGACATTGGCCAACTATCAAATAAGCCTGGTTCCTATTTTCTGTGTTGTCCTGATTCCACTTTCCCTTCTGCCTCGATTCAGACCACCCATTCCAATCCACACTGAAGTGCGCACTGATAGTCCTTTTCTATTCCCAGTACTGTAGGAAATCTCTGGAAAAGATGCAAGGGGGAAAAATCATAAGCCTCGCAGAGCAGCATGGTCAGAGTGACAATGCTTATCTATTCTTTTCAGAGAGCAGCACAATAACCTTTAACATAAACAGTTTTAACAGCTCCATTTTACAGTTGAGGACACTGAGATTTAAAAGAAGTAAAAAAAATTTTTTTAAAAACATATAGTTAATAAAGCGGCCAAGCTAATAAGTAAAACTTGGGTACTAAATGATCTACTCCGAGGTATATCACTGAATAATCATGGCAGGTTAAATCATAGCTTTTATTCATACTGGATATTCTCAAATTACACAATGTTCTCCTGATCTCAGACTGCCACATGAATGAAAGGTCATCTCTGGATTAGTCATGCTCTTGTATCTGCAAGTCCGATTTGTTTTCTGCTCAATCTGTCGACTCTACCCACTCTTTGGTTTCTTTAGGTATTAACACTGCTCTTGAAAACTGATAAAAATATGGTCCATACTCAGAGGCTTTTTAAAAAATTAAACTGTACTAGTATTACGATACAGCAAAGTATTACCATATAGGGGCATACATAGAAAAATCACTTTTGGAAGAATTATTCCTAAGATTTTCCAAGCACCTAACAATATTTCAAAATTTCATTGGAATGGCTTGTTAAAAAGGTAAGAGAGAATAGTTATGCTAATAGTCATTCATCTCACTACCAAGAAGTTACAGCTTTTTCTGGTTATTGTAAAACGAACTCAGAAGGCAGAATTCGATGCCAGATGAACTCATTTTTTTGGGTCCTACCTAAATGAAAACAGGGAAGGAAATGTCCCGACAGATGCAGTACCTAGGATAATTCGTTTGTTTGTTCGGTACCTTGAACACAAGAGACTCTTAGTATAGATTTGTTAATTTAAATGTTCAGTGCAAAGTTTTCATTTCAATTAACACGAAACTGCTTGTGTCTTGGAAAAATACTTTCAGTAGTGACAATCACCATTTGCCCCTGTCTCT